AAATTCGAACACAAAGCTGGCAAATGAGAAGCTGAGTTCAGCCTCATAAAAAAAAACAGCAAGACCGATTTGACAAAAAACTCTTCTTTTGAGGAAAGGTTTCCTGCTGGAGATGCGAGAAAAGCGGTTATAGCTGAACTAAAGCTTAAAGCAGAGCAAAATGAGTGTGTTTTCATTTATATTATATTATAGGCCTGTACTAGACTAGTACGGTAGTACATACTGAGACTGAAGATGGTAAAACGGACATAAAATATTGTGGCTCCCAAGGTGGTTTGTTTTTTGTTGAAAGGACAAAATGGCTCTTCTTAACATTTGGGTTGCCGACCCCTGCTTTAGACGGTTATCCAAGGCTGTGTTAATTAGCCTGGGCCGTTTTAACCTTTACTCTCTGCTTATATCGGTTCTGACATCTGAACCAAGTACAGATCCAATACCAGTGCTGTGTTAAAGCATGTTTTGTAGTTCTAGGCTACATACATGTACAGTAGATGTTAAGGTACTATAGTAGAGACTGTATCACATTCTGTCATTTTAAATTGTGCTGTTACAAGTTTACGACGACTGTCATAGAAGCAGTGTCTGACAAATATCCGGTGTATTTAATAAGGCCGGTGTGGATGCTCATAACAACCCAGTATTTCTGGTTGATGCATGATCTACTCATGCATTAGTCTGTAATAGCAGTGACACTATTACTAAGTCTGTAATGCCATATCAACAGCTTCAACACGTTTAGAGGAGAGTAGTAGGTCGTCTCTGTGGATTTGCCACAGGTCCAAACAGATGCCCACCTTAGAGGGGTCTGCTCGTACCTTAGAGGGGTCTGACTCTCTTGCTGTCTTTTTGTATAATGTATAACAGTAGCCAGGGACACTCAGCTCTCTTTTATATAGAAAAATGAATGGAAAAATATCGGAAAGCAGACTTACTCCACTAATCACTGTTTCATTTTAGGAAAAAAACACTATCTGCTTTAACTCTTTGAAAACCGTTAGCACCCAGTGGACTGTTGAGTGGCTGCTGTAGGACAGAAAGGCTGTAGTAAGAAAGGGGGTGATTGCACAGGGCATTTAGGATGACTCAGGTTTAATCTCACCCCTCCTCCAGCTCACCCACACAGTTGACTCATCATTGTTCCCAGTGGCCCAGGACAGCTGTGTATGTGTGTGCTTGTGCACATGCATGTCGCCATACTGGACCCTCAGCGTAGAACAGGAAATATTTGTATGCTGCACACAACTTAGTCAAAGTTCATGGTTTGTGTTGTTTACTGTGTCTTCAGCTCTTATTCAGCACAGCTCACAATGTGTTCTGTGTTCTCAGCCTGCTAATCGTTGTACAGTGAAACTGGAAAATAAGTTCAGAAGTTTCCTCTTGGTCCAGTTCTTTAATGCATACATTTTAGGCCCTGTATAACAGTAGCAATGCGGGCTGTCCCCTCCCTCGGAGAATGACTCAGTATAACTCATCCGCCCTTTTAGGCGCTTGGCCTGCGTTCGGTCGTTCTCAGCCACTGTTCTGTTGATACAGTATCCAAATTAGCACCATAACTGGCATATCATATTGCTGGTTTCTAACAGTGTGAGTACACATAAAGGGTGTTCCCAACCCTTCCTGACTAATAACATTTTAAAATGAGAGCTTTCACAGCTATTTTGAGAAATGAAACAAGTTTCAAATATTTCTCAATTTGTAATTACAGGTTTGCTGTTAACCACACTGCCAGCAGAGGTTCAGGGGCCATTATCATGTAACTTGGAGCTTAGATTATTGTACCATTAAAACTCTAAAAGTGTAGAGTGGGTCCTTGTTGTGTGTTAGCCCAGGCCGGTGGCTCTTGGCTGCGCCGGGCAGCTCTTGCTTGGCCCCTGGGCTGGAGCCGTAGCTCCTAGGCCGCGGGGCTGGAGGGGGCCCATTGTGCCAGTGGGAGCTTCAAAGGCAAGCTGAGCCTGGGCAGGAATTCGGCACGCTCTCGCAACCCTCTGCAGCCACGGCGCTGCCTCTTTTGTTGTGGTCTGTACATCCATACACATGGTAATTAGTCTCATGTGGCTCGGGCCTGTGGTGATGGTGGTTGTGAAGAGGGGGAGTCATGAAGGCAGGCAGAGAAGGGGGGAAAAAAAAGGGGAAGTGAGAGAAAAGGAAAAGGAGGGGGTGAAAAGTGAGAGAGATTAGGAGACGCAAAGAGTCAGAGACATGGGTTGGGAAAGTTTGAGCCCAATTGGGTGCATGAGAGAGAGTACATGTGGGTGTGCATGCGTAATTCAAAGGACAGAGTGCTGAAGAAAGAGTGCGAAAAGAGAGACAGGTTTTTCTGGTTCACAAAGCCGTGCAATAACTCACCTCTCATTGGTTGTGTGTGTGTGTGTGTGTGTGTGTTGAAGAGGGTGTTAAGATCAGACAAGCCGCCTTGCTTTACCCACAGCAAGCCCCTAGCTCAGCTCAGCTTGTTACGATGAAACTGCTACCACTGCTTGCTGCTGTTAATGTGGTAGAAAGAGCAGACTAAATGGCCCCTTCTTCACTGTGTCATCGCAAGGCACATGCTAAAGTGGCGCTGGTCGATAAAATGATAACGATAATTATCGTGATGTAACTGTCCTCGATAGAAGTATAAGAAATGTTGGATATATTAGACCATTTTCACACTTCTGCCTTCTAGCGACAGCCCTGGTGGCGTTTTCTCCTGCCAGAAAAGTGACACTACTCTGCTGTCGCCACAAGAGAGCGCACTTCTGAGTTTTTCGAAATGATGGGGGGGGGGTCAAGAAGTGAAACGAGTCAACAACTCAACAACGTCTGAAACGTGGAGTTATATATTCCCCGTTTGAGTGGAGTGATCGGCGATCTGTACTCCTGTGACTGACTGAGTGACGAGATGAGTGGCGTAGCTGTGCTGGCTTAGAGTGAACTCCCCTCTGTCCTTTAGCAGCGTTAAATCACGTCTGCTCCTCACAACTACAGCACTGTTATAGCGCTCAGTTGTATTTTAGGGCATTCCCAAGCAACAAAAGTGAAAAGTGGGTTCATGCAGTTTCAGCCCTGATTTAAACTGAACTGAGGATGCTGTAAGTGTGGCGGTGGAGAGTGGGAGAAGGCTGTCTTCCCAGGCTAGCTGTTTTTAGCAGCTGGCTAACTTGAAGCAGCGCTCCGTCACTCGCACAGCACGGCGAACTCATGTTACTGCAGATCAAACAAGACCGATTTCAGTTTAAACGTACCTAAAAGGAGGAATCTGTTTGTCTGGTGTGAGAGAATCACACTCACAGTGAGCGTCAGATGTACTGCGGTTCACCCTCAAACTACTACGACAGAATAGAGAAGTCCAGACGTCGCTAGCTGGTGTCTGAATACTGTGATATGCTCTGACATGGATGTGGTGGGAGTGACGGCAGTAAGGCTGTATGATCCATCACTGACCTACCGAACCAGCTAATGTTTGCTGTTCGTGTTAAGCTGACGTTGACTAACTAAACAGTTTAGCTCTCGTCTCCAGACAGCTAAAAATAATTTGTTTTCTTTCTCAAATTATGAATATTACAGAAATTGTGGCCGTGCTTTTCCAGCTGGTAAAAACAGCTAATCAGAAACTTTCTCCCACTGTCCCGTGACAGATCTGTGAAATGTTCCACTGTTTGCCGAGTGTTTGTCGTGTTCTGACCATAAAGGATAGTTTAAAACAGCAATTAACTACTCAGGAGCAGAAATCAGCCTTCAAACCTGAAAGAAATAATGAATTTGACATTTATCGCGATATTTTTTTTACATTTTTTTTATCATGATAACATTTTTGGCCATATCGCCCAGCCCTATGCTAAAGAGAGAGTATCATTGCTGCTGTTATTATTATAGTGTTATTCATTGTGCTTAACTGTAGTGAAGTGAAGCAGGACAGTTAGGTATAACTTGCTGAACAGAGCCCTTTAATCCTAGCGTCATTCGTTTGGACACCTCCCCTTGATTGTGATTGGTCCACTGCATGGAGTGGGTGACTAGCAGTGCTGAGATGTTTCTTTTGAAGTATATTTACAAAATTGTGTTCAGCCATAGTTTTAGTTTTTGTTCTTTCATCGTTAAGTATACTGCCAGCTTAAGGAATAGTGGTATATATTTAGTCTCTCTTTTATGTAAGGCTGTTACACACGGACACACCTGAAATTCTTCATGTCTATTATTGTTCTTTAAGTATCTGCAGTTGTAAGCTAATATTAGACTACCCAGTTTTTAGGATGCAGCTATCCAGTATTTTAATTGTTGAACATTTTCATCTGTTGAACACCATTTTGAATAGCCAAACAAAGGATAAAAGTGAAACGTATTTCACTTAAATGATTGAAGGGGGGACAAAACAAGAGTGGGATTTTGAAAATGATCTTTTTTTTTTTTGGTACAAAATGTATAATAATTTATTTTGCATTTTATACTTTGAATATTTATTGTAAAACTGTACAGTATTGGAAAAAAGGTATTAGATTTAAAAGAAAAAAATGTGAAATTATAGCAAGTAGCCTAATCTGTTAATCCTGCCAAGTTCCGGGTGCTGTTTAAACGTGTGAGCAGTGAGTGGTGCAGGTGCAGGAGAACATCATCAAAAAAATAGAAAAAAAAACTCCTGTTAGTGAGTGTCGAAGTGACCATATTTCAGATTCTATTAGATGAATAAAATGCATAACATTAACATTGTGGCATCGGTCTTAACATCAGATGCAGAATTTAGCGCTCTCGTTCATTTTAGGAAATAAAATCAAACTTTCAGACCACACAATGTTAAGACTGATGGCACTAGTTTCAAAAAGGTAACGCAAGTATCAATTATTTGATTGATTTTACCATTTTCAAAAATGTGAATTATTAACTGTAATCCATTATTTGATATAATACATTAATAAAACACAGTATTTGATTAGTTTGTTGATTTTTGAGAGGAGTAGTGCTAACACGAGAACAACTATAATATAAATTATGATGCTAATTTATTTTTCTTTTAACTCCATCAGTTGCAGGAAACTGTGAAGAGGAAGCTGGAGAATGCAGGCTCTCCAATGGACCGTGACCAGGTGAATGGTTTCAGTGATGGCTATCCACCTTCCAAGAAGTCTTGTTTGGAAGATGCTTTGGGTGGTCTCAACGGGGCCTCGAACGGCACCGTGCCTCCTCTCTCTCCCTTGGATACCAAGCATGGCGTGGTCACTGACTCTCTGGTGCTGAACGGCACACATGCAACAGGCAGCACGGAGCAGAACGGTGTGGGGCTGACGGATGGATGTGGGGTGCGGGGCACCGAATCGGACATCCGCCTGAAGGAGATGAAGCAGGAGCCCATGGAAGACATCCTGCCCACAGGAGGAGGCAATGGCAACATCATCCTCCCTGACCTGAACCTGAACGAGCAGGAGTGGACCGAGCTCATGGAGGAGTTCAACCGCTCTGTTCCGTACGAGGAGATCCAGGAGCTCTTTAACGACGGCTTTGAGGACCGGAAGGACCCTGACCTGTCGTCTGGCGGGGCGCCTCCCAACCTCCTGCCTCCAGACCACGCCACTACAGTCAAAACAGAGTTTTCTCCAGCCCCGGCTTCATCTTCCTCCGCTTTCGAGCAGGACTCTCGTACTGGCTCCCCACATGTTCCGCCCTCCTCGTCTGGGCCTCTGCTGCACACTGGCTCTCCAGTCACGGCACCCTCAGCTGCCTCTTCTCCGGCTCTGCCTGGGCCCCAGCATTCTCAACAGCAGCAGCAGCAGCCGGGCCAGCCGTCCAGACCTCTCCAGAACCACCTGCTTTCTGGGCCATCCAAGGACCTCTCGCCAGCTCAGCAGCTACAGCAGCTAGCTGCGAGGGAGCAGCAGAGGGCGCAGCTAATGCAGAGCCAGCACCAATCACAAAAACAACAGCAACAAAAACAGCAGCAGCAACAGCAGCAGCAAGCACACAAATTTCACCAGCAGCCCAATCACACCTCCACCTGGCCTCAAAACACTCCCAACCAGAGTCCACTGGGAGGCCCTTTTGGCCTGGAAAAGCCCACCAGCCCCTCCCTTTACCCCCCAGACTTTCAGAACAGCAAGTCTCTGCTCATGCCTGGCCAGCAGCCCAACAAAGGCTCGCCCAAAGCGGGCGCCCCGGGTGGGTACATGCAGCCCGGCGCACACCCAATGCTGGGTCACCCTGCAGCACCTTCAGGAACCCTCAGCCACCCGCCTAGTGCAGGGGGTCAGGCCATGCTGGACTATAGAAACACAAAGCCTCTGAGCCACTTTGAAGCCAGTGCCCCTGGGCCACCCAGAGCCCCTGCAGCCTCACAGGTACAGAACAAAGCAGCTCTCCTCAACATCATCCGGCAGCAGCAGCAGCAGCAGCAGCAGCCAATGAAGCAAAGGCCGACTAGCATGCCCTTCAGGCCGCATCTACCACTAACGCAGGTATGGCCGTGCAATCCAGCTGCACACAGCTCTTGCGGAACAAAATCACTGCACATACTACACAAGCAACTTGCCACACATTCTCAACTGCACTTTTTGTATACAGTGTTCGCATCACTGCTGCCCTGACGCCCCATATCGCCCTACATCGCCCTACATCAGTCGGTCCTGTGTGGTTTATAAAAGGCTAATTCGTTAAATTTGTAGATGCATAATTGTTTGCTAAGGTGAAAGATTTGCTGGTGGAAGTTTTTGTAGAGATGCACCTCTTTTCTGATGCCTAAACTCCCAACACAAAGGAACGATCTGATGTATTTTTTTCTTCGGTTTAAATCTGAATGCCTCATATAATGAGCTGTTAAAGTGAGAAGACACTATCTACCTTTTATTTAAGGCATAGAGCACGAGAGGGAGTGTGTTATCGTGAAATAACGTCACGGCTGTGATTTGGTCGCCGTAGATAATCACAGCCGTGATGTTATTCACGATAACACACAACCTTGAGTGTTATATTGCTTTTATACAACAGTTAAATAAGCAAAGTAAGAAATTAATAAACTGGGCCGTGAACGCGGCGTTTAATATGTTTTAATGTTCGCAGATCCTTCACCAAATTATAGTTCCTTAACGAGCAGCTCGTTGCTACGTCAGAGTAACGAGCTCCGCCCACTCGCTGCACAGTCTGCTGTAAGCCTCACCTTTTGAAGTACAGACTGAGCTATAAAACTGCTGCAATATCAGGTTTAGCTCAGTTTTGTCTTTTATTTGTCAGATCAGTATTAATGTTGTTTTGTTCCAGCCAGTCTGTAAAGCATCTTACAGCCCATTTAGTTTGGCGAATGGTGTTGGGTTCATTTCTGGCTGATTCCAGGTTGTTCAGCTGTTCTTCTGTCTCAGCTGCCGACTGAAAAGCTGCTCAGTGGTGACGACAGTTTGGGAATTTAGTGTCGTCTCATCTTCAGAGTCTGACCAAATCGGCTGTCGGTCAAATGTGATCTTAAAAGTGTCCATTTTCTGTTTGTGGCAAAGTAAGAAGTAAAAACGTTCAAACGACTTGAGCGTCTCCTACAGCTGTCAGAGTCGTCGCTCCGCGTCTCAGCGGAGTGATAGTGTTTATGAAAAAAACGTGATGTTATGGCAAATGGTTAGAACCCTTCTCAACCAATCAGCTTGCGCGGCCGGAACTAACTGTTGTATAATTATTTTTAATTAAGGAAT